TGCAATCGATTGTAAAACCGTTTTTTCCGTCTTTTAGTCTGGGATAGGGTGTACAATTCTTAGTTTTAGTCTGGGGTAGGGTATGTAAAATCAAAATTTCAAGTTGGGGTGGTGGTACCCCCCCCGGGCGGGTTCTCCGGTTTCCTCCCTCCATAACAATCAACATGTGAGTTGAGCGTTGTGTGCATAGAATATTAAATGTAGTGGTAGTGCGTGTGAGTGAAAAGTGTCCCCAATTAGTGCGAAAGCGCTAGAACGACTAGATACTTGATTAAAAGTGATTGATTGATTTATTATTTATTATTCATTATTCGATGTTCTTTGTATTCAACGAACCATTTCCATGTCGGAATGACCTATCGCCTATCGCCTTTGGCGATGACAACGTTATTTGAATTAGATGTATTCAAGACCTCAGACACGGATAAATGACATATATTCAGTTATAGTCAAGTAGACCATGACAGTGCGAATCAAGGGTAAAGTACCGGTGGTGCACTCGCCTCTCATCTCTGGGGTCTCGTGTTCCATTCCTGGACTCGGCATTACATGTCAGTAAAATTTGTTAGGTCTTTCCYTCTATTCCAGGGTTTTTCTCTGCGTCAGTTCTCTGCGTCAGTTTTSCAGTTAGTTCTCCAGTTTTCCTCAGTCCGCAAAACCTTACACACTAATTTACAATTCGATCTGCGAGTTAGCCGTACCCTGACTTAGATCAGCCCAGAGGTTGTTACAGGGTTCATTAAGATTTAAATTCTTTTGTTTAATACTCTAACATTTGACATTTAATCTTGATATATTTAATTATAAAATCAGGTTGACTTGGATCTGATCGTAAGTGTCTTGGCATACATTTGCTCACTTGGAAAACAAGGTAWGATCGAGGAACTTTAAAGTTGTTACTTTTTTACTATAAAGGCCCGCTTACACGTTGAAACTTTTAGCTGAAAGTTGTGTGCAACGGCGTTGCTAGTCTCCTCCACAGGCACTCTCAGTGTCGTCACGCAGTCTCCCCCACAGCCGCTTTCAGAGTCGTCACGCAGTCTCCTCCACAGCCGCTTTCAGAGTCGTCACGCAACACTTTCTCTCCTGTAACACTCATCGCGAGAAAGTTGGAAGTTTCACGAAAAGTAAAACTGCTTTCTACTCGTGCAACCGAAACTTGTGTCTTGAACAAGTTTCAGTGAAGAAAGTGCGCAAGGAAACACCCCTCTTGAAACTTTCTTCGACATGCCCCAGTAAACAATCCAATGCCGAAAGCCCAACATTCTTAGTGAGCAGGTAACATCAACATGGCGGAGTGGTTTCACGAAAATATTGCTCCGTGTAACTTTTCTCACAACGCTGTTGCACACAAGTTTCAGCTAAAGGTTTCAACCTAYGTGTAACAGGGCCTTAATTCTKTATTACAATGAAACTTAYTCTYGCGCTCCTAACAAGGTTCAAAAATGTAATTGTTTAAAAATGTATTTATTTTATATACTTTAGTATAATTTTAATCTTGTTATATTGGATATTTTCAGGTGCTGTGTTGGTGTTCTTGCCTGGTTATGATGAGATTATCACCCTAAGGGACAGACTTACGAGTCACCAAGTATATGGCAACACTAATAGGTGAGCAGTGTCAGCATCAGCATCATCAGCATCACCAACATCACCATCATTCAACATCATCATCATCACCAACACCATCATCATAACCATCATTATCATTATCATCTTCACCATCATCACCATCATCATCACCATCATCACCAACATCATCACCATTATCATTATCATCATCATTATCATCATCATCTTCATCATCATCCCATTTTATCTCATTTATTTATTTAATTTTTTTGTGTTTTTAAAACATTAAATTATTTAAATATCTTCTACGATCATTCAGGCATAATAATCTTAAAACGTTTCCTACAGATTTCAGATATTTACGCTCCATTCATCGATGCAGCCTTCAGAGCAAAGAAAGGTATGATATGATAACTAAAGGTCGGGAAAAAATATCGCAAAAGGATGAAATTAAAAGATAAACACTCAACATCTAAACTTAAATAACCCCCTATACTCGGCTATATTCTACGAGGTAAAGAAGAGATGCTTCCAAGACCATTCCAAGTACATTGGTGATTACMGCGGGACTGCCGAAACATGTCTGTGAAAATCTCAAAGTGGTTGTTTCAGTTTTTTTTCAAAATGTTATTGAAACTTCTCTACAGTCAGTTGTTCCCTGCTAGCAGAGTCTGTYCTCTTTCTCTCCCTTCTTTAAGGTGGGGAGGAGGCATCTTTGCTTTTGCATGTATAAATTTTTTCCCTGATGACATTGTGCTCATTAAAATACAGTATGGAGTGAGTATAAAAAAAGACACGCTGAAGTATTTGCAATATTTTGAAATTATTTTTCCCTCGTGTTTCAGGCTTTCAAGAAACTCCCATCAACGGTGCGAAAAATAGTAAGTGACTTTACTCAATAATGACTAAGCTTTTAGTTTTGGGCGGACACACTTTCTGGGACCCACTTTTACAAAGTTAACCCATCACGGTGTAGATTTAAAAATTTAGCCAATCAGGAGAGAGCAGAAACAGTATCGCATTGAACTATAAGCCAATCACACTCGTTAATTTCCACGGTTGTCGTAGCACAAAAAAAAGAGAACCAATCATAATCGAGCATGTGTACGTTTTAATCTTTGTTTCCATTGTAATTTTTCAGATATTGTCTACCAATATTGCTGAGACGAGTGTTACTATTGATGACGTGGTGTTTGTTATCGACTGTGGCAAAGTTAAAGAGGTTGGTTAGGGGAAGATTATTTATTTCTTTTTTTTTTTTTTTTTTTTTTTTTTTTTTTTTTTTTTTTTTTTATCTTATGTTTCAGCATAGCGCATTGCGGTAGTAGAATGAGCTTCATAAGCACTATATGTCCAGTATTATCAATAATAATGCTAGCTCGGTTGAAGCAACGTGCTTCGAAAATAGGCGAATGCCGCTGAACGTACGTACTGCATGCTCCGAGAATCATCGCGAATGAAAGACACACTAATCGAGATTTATCCTGGTATATAGCACACAGGAATCCCAACCGTCAAAATAAGATTCGCTGCTCGTTACGTTCACAGCAATTATAAATAGGGGCATTTTGAGCAAAAGAATAAACACTAATTAACATGGATTTTTTCTTTAACAGAAATCTTTTGACGCTTTGACATCAGTTTCTACTTTACAACCAGTATGGATTTCTAAAGCCAGTGCTGTCCAGAGACAAGGAAGGTAGGAGAACAGCTGTGAAAATGGCGTTATTATTGCATTACTATCATCATCATCATCATCATCATCAAGATCAGCATCTTAACATCATTATTACTGCCACTACTATCACCACCTCCATCATTAATCATCACCATCATTAATCATCACCATCATTATCATCATCATCTTCATCATTATCATTATCTTCATCATTATCGTCGCCATTATCATCATCAGCATCATCATCAAAGGCAACATTTTAACATCATCATTACTGCCACTACTATTACCACCACCACCTCCATCGTCAGTCATCATCATCATTATCATCGTCATCGTTATCATTATCATCATCTTCATCATTATCGTCGCCATCATTTATCATCATCATCATGAATATTATCATCAATATTGCTACCACCACCATCAGTCATGCTCATCGTCAATCATTCCTCATTTTCATCATCATTACCATCGTCATAGATCGTTACCATCATCATCATCATCATCATCCTCATAAACATAACCATCACCATCAGTCTTGAAACATTATCATCATAATCATTGTAGTCATCATCATCATAATCATTGTAGTCATCATCATCATCTTTTCTTCCTCATCAGAGCCGGTCGTTGTTCCCCAGGCGTTTGTTTCCATATGTTCAGCAGGGTTCGATATGAAAGCTTCCAGGCCTACCAAGTCCCTGAACTACTGCGCATTCCACTACAGGTAATATCAATGAAATAATATCCAGCTGAACATAAGAACATGCGTAATAGGTAAATTACGAGCCTTGTATGAAAAGACTGAAGAAGAGGCCAATGGGCCTTTCACAACTTCAAGTCGCGTCAAAAATGAGCCAGCTCAACTAGAARCTAGAATTCTGCTGTCCACGGTTTCTACTTGAGCTGGCTCATTTTTTTTACGCGACTTGAAGTTGCGAAAGGCCCATTGGCCCTCTTCTTCAGTCCTTTCATACAAGGCTCGTAATTTACCTATCACGCATGTTCTTATGTGATATCCGAGCCCATCCCACACGGCTTACCGCCCCATCTCTCAATATGCAGCTGAGTTGACTACGTTCCCTGAAAGGAATCATGGGTCAACTATTTTTGGTTAGCATTTTCCCAGCAGGGGCTGAGTGCAATGTAGATTTCTCGTGTTGAATGAACTAGAATTTCACCATGAGTTCAACTAGYAGCATTTACGATCAATTTAAAGAATAAAAATATATATATTTCATGGGTTCTCTTAGCAGAATCATGGGAAATGCTAATCAAAATATGATGTTGAAGATGATGGCTAGTAAACACTAGCATGGACTGCGTCGGTGTTTCTAATGAAGCAGTTATCGTAGATTGATAAGTTATGATGTTGAATCTTGGATTCTGATGGGTTAATTTTGAATTTGTTCCGGTCAGGTCAACTCTGCTGGATATCTAAGAATGTGGGGGGAAAATTTAACAGTTGGACTGAAATGTCTCTTTTTCACAGGAGTTGTGTCTACATACCAAATTACTGGCCGGGCCTTCAACGTCTATTGCAGATTTCCTGGCCAAAGCACCAGAACCCCCCGCTTACCTGGTATTACGSAATGCTGTCACGTTACTTAAGGTATGTTGGTGTCTATCCTCAYTGGGATTCCTGTGGTGCTAGAGTGGCTAGTGAAATACTAACATGGAGAGAGGAATGTAACAGAGGGGAAGGTTGATCTTCGGGTCATAATTTTAGCAGTCCAACCAGGACGGGAAGCGCATTGACACTAGACTAAGACTCAGTGGCATTTTAAGAATACCTTTTTGGGTCCTCTTTTCACTACATATTTCCAACATAAGAAAATCGAAGAGAGAACAAGTGCAAACATTCCCGAATAGCAGTGCTCGAATAGGAAAGCCATACACCGAATCGAAATATGGCGACCAATTTGAATAACTATTGTTCTGCACTGACTAGCGACTGACTAGCTTCGTGTTCACGTGGAAACATAAAAGCATTTTCACATGTATAGGAGTATATTATTTTCACATGTATATTATTCAAATTGGTCGCCATATTTCGATTCGGTGTATTGAAGGATAGTACGAGCATTTATGTGACCTCAAACCATTGAAAACTTATGATTCCGTGCCGCTTTTGCTTTTGTTCACCCCTGAGCGTATATTTGTACGTGGGTAGAATTTATTTTCTTAATTTCTTTCTTATATTTTTATCAATTTTTCTTTCAGACCATCGACGCTCTTGATAAATGGGAAGACCTAACTGATATAGGTAGGTAAAAACATCACGTGACTCCTTTATCCAATCAGAAACCTTGCTAATGCATTCTATTAAGTTAGAAATGTCCTCGTTCAAGCCTTCTTAGGGTGACTTCAAGTTTTGATGCAAATTAAGTCAGTTGATGTAGTATTATTTGTTTGTCCCCAGGCCGCCATCTTGCTGATTTGCCCGTGGAGCCTAGGCTGGGTAAAATGATACTGTATTCAGTGGTTCTGAAGTGTATTGATCCCGTTGTTACTATTGCTTGTGCACTGGCCTACAGAGATCCATGTGAGTAGGGCATATATTGATTCCTTATCATTACCCTCATCATCATCACCACCATCACCATCATCAGCAGCAGCATCGTCACAACCAACATCACCATCACCATTATCAGCAGCATCAACATCGCCATCATAGTCATCATCAACATCATCATCATTGTCATCTTGCGCCATTATTGTCATCATCACCATCAACATCATCATCATTATCATCATCGTAGTCATCATCATCGTCGCCATCATCATTGTCATCATCCGCCATCATTTTCATCATTACCATCAACATCATCTCGCTTATCATCATCACCATCATCACCCCCACCATGAGCATCGCCACTATCATCATCATCACTACCATCATCAACACCATCATCATCATCACCATCACCATCACCATAATCACAATAAATATTTTTATCATCACTGCAACCACTACCCCTTTATTGTTTTTAACTTATATCTTAATTTCAAAACGCTACTTCCATGACTTAAAAATGTCATTCTTTCAGTTGTTCTMCCGATGTACGCATCTGAAAAGCGTCTGGCAGCACTAGCCAAGAGAAGGTTTATTCTAGATCCGCTTAGCGATCACTTGCTGTTCGTCAAAGCCTTCAGGGTAAGTGACACATTGTTCCTATAATGGTTAGTGCACTAACTATCACCTCTTGGGTCTCGGGTTTGATTCCTGGACTCAGCATAACGTGAAAGCAGAGTCGATCTGTGAGTTAGCCGTGCCCTGACTTAGATCGGCCCAGAGGTTGTTTCAGGGTTCGATCTGTGGGTTAGCCGTGCCCTGACTTAGATCAGCCCAGAGGTTGTTTTAGGGTTCAGTCTGTGAGTTAGCCGTGCCCTGACTTAGATCAGCCAAGAGGTTGTTTCAGGGTTGGATCTGTAAGTTAGCTGTGCCCTGACTTAGATAAGCTCAGAGGTTGTTTCAGGGTTGGATCTGTGAGTTAGCTGTGCCCTGACTTAGATCAGCCAAGAGGTTGTTTCAGGGTTGGATCTGTGAGTTAGCTGTGCCCTTACTTAGATCAGCCCAGAGGTTGTTTCAGGGTTTGATACTAATTAAAGGACCATTCTTATACCCGTGTTTTGCAGGGCTGGCAGCGAGCGAGAGCTGAAGGGAACGACAAGAGTTTTTGCCAAAGAAACTATTTGTCGCCTGCAACACTGGAAATGATGGCGGGCATGAAGTGAGTACAGTWATCGTTCKTGACTGTCGTAAACTTAGGGGRAAAAATTCACCACGTGATGAAGCCATCATGAGGTACCCTCCGATTAGAAACTGCGAAATCGTTCGTTCGTTCGTTTGTTTGTTTGTTTGTTGATTCTTTTAGTTGGTTTGTGTGTGTGTGTGTGTGTGCGTTTGTTTGTGGAAAGAATTCAGTTCCTCGACCAAAAGAGGATTCTGTTTCTCTGCTGCCCAACATRGCAGCCGACACGCGACATGCGGTCTTCCAACATCTCCCTGCTAGTAAAAGTTATTGCATGATTTGACTTAATGRCAATATTTTTCTTTAGATCTCAGATAATAGGGCTTCTCAAAGCCTGTGGTTTCATACGAGCGCGCGGAGCTGGGGACATTAGAGACTTGAATACAAACTCCAACAACTGGGCTGTGGTCAAGGTAAGAACATTGATTCTCTTCTTTGAAGTTCAAAAGAATGCTAGTTTTAATCATTGTATCATTTACTCGAAATCTTTCGGGACGTTTGTCTCCACAGGCCGCATTGTGTGCTGGGATGTACCCTCGCGTCGCACGAATCGATCGCAACACCAGCAAGCTAACCACGCCGTAAGTTGATAGAGCAATTTTCACATGAGTGGGAAACGATACAGCAAATTCGTAGTCGCAATGATGTCGTACCGTATCTTGCCTTACGTTTACCACTCATGCGATAACCATTCTTGGGGAAGCCATTTCAGTGTTACGGCATGTCGTACCGTGTACGTGCTGTAAGCCAGTACCCTATGTTTCCCACTCATACGAAAGCCATTCCTGTGGGAAGCCATTTAAATGTTACGACAAGCCGTACCGTGTACATACTGTAAGTCAGTACCGTACTCATATATCTGATTTCTTTCAGACTATTTAAGCAAAACTTTTTTCTTTCAGTAAAGAATCCAATGTACGCCTGCATACGACGTCAATTCTGTACCAGGCTTCTGACAAGAATGAGTCTATTGCTAGTGCCCAGGCTAGGGCCGTGAAGCAGGTTCCTTCTRATTGGCTGGTTTATGAAGAGATGACACGGTAATGTGGTTATTACTGACAGTAAATCATGAGATCAGAATTCTAAGTGACGTTTAYCCAGCGTTGTTATTTAATTGGATGTCGTCTTATCTTTGACCGTGCCGTGACCAAGCATTTTSRTTGGACACGGTGTGATAACATGCGCTATGATTGGTTCAATGGCTTTCGTCTTATTCATACAGTGACCGTGCCGTGACCAATCATTTTAATTGGATAACTTTTTTMTTTTCCCTGTAGTATGTACACCAACGTTAGCATCAAGTGTTGCACTGCAATATCACCAATCACTGTCAGCCTCTTCACCGGGCCGAGCCTTTCTTCGCCAAACCTGGAGCCTGGGACCGGAAACTCACGTGACCAAGATCGGAGAAACAGYGAAAGCCGACGAGACAGCGAAAGCAGCGAYAGCGARACCGATGAAAAGCCTGGAGACGAGTCACGTGATAGTGAAGCAGAGCTAAAATTAGACGAGTGGATTTCGTTACTTGGTGACGATGAGGTATTTTTATTTAAGTTAATTAATATATACAAGATTGCAAAATTCCTTGTGCTCAGAATGTTAAGGGTGCAGATGAGGTGGCTGGCGTTACCATGGATACCATTAGTTTAGGCGAATAAATCATAGGTAGCTACAAAGTTTTATCATTTTCACAACCTTACGATGTCAAAGTAATTTAAGGCGTCAGTTTGAATATTGCTCTGAATACGTGATATGTATTTTCTTTCTCCATAGACTATCCATCTTACATCGTATTTGAGGCATAAGCTACAAGCTTTGTTTATCAGAAGAATTCGTTCTCCGTCTAGACCCTGGTCACAAGTGGACGAGGTAAATGGCCTTTTCTAAGATATCGAACATGGTGCATTGTGTGCTAGCTTGGGTACAAACATCTGGGGTTTATCATGCTTTATATGTTATTGTTTATACCCAAGCTACACCACAATGCATCCTGTTTATCAAACTCAGAAAAGGCCTATGGTAACACTTTTTCATTCTAGCACCGAGTAGGTGGTTAACCCTGTGTTATTTTTTCATTCTGAAGGCCATCGTCAGGGCAACAGTAGCAGTGCTATCGGCTGAAGAAGAGATTRTGAACCCAAACTTATACCCCAGGCAGCGAAAAACTAGACCAGGTATACACTTATATATTATTCTATAATATAGGTATCAACACTAGACGCTTCACATATCGAGAAATGATGTTATGTGAGGCCCCRTCCACAYGTATCCGCAAATTTTTGTATCCGCAATTCTTTTTTTACGGATACGGGTTGYGTCCACACGTGTCCGCAAATTTTTGTGTCCGTATCCTCAAATTTTACGAAAACGGATACGTGTGGACGGTGAAAACGATTCGAATACGCTGCGTGTGGACGCAAACATTTTCGTATCCGCAAATTATTTTTTGCGGATACAAAAATTTCCGGATACGTGTGGACGGGGCCTGAGTGTTGATGTCCAAGGATGAGTGATGTCATATATTGTAAATAAGATCATGTCATTTTTTTATTTATTTTTTTTGGTTTTCATCATTGTTCTACTCTTAATTATTATCAATATCTTCATCGCCATCAAAATTATCATCATCACGATCAACATTGTCATCATTATTATCACCATAATTATCATCATCACCTTCACCATTATCATTACCATCACCACCATTATCATTCAATTTATGCCTATGGTTGTTGGATTATGTTCTGTTTTGTAGATTATGTATCAGAATCACGGGGATACCGAGATGAAAGGTTTGTAGCAGATGCCCTGTTCTTTCTGTTTTTATTCATTTGATCTTGGGTTAGCTACTGGGTTACCTACTGGGCTACCTACTGGGCTACCTACTGAGCTACCTACTGGGCTACCTACTGAGCTACCTACTGGGCTACCTACTGGGCTACCTACTGAGCTACCTACTGGGTTACCTACTGGGTTACCTACTGAGCTACCTACTGGGCTACCTACTGGGCTACCTACTGAGCTACCTTATGAGCTACCTACTGGGTTACCTACTGGGTTACCTACTGAGCTACCTACTGGGCTACCTACTGGGTCGCCTACTGGGCTACCTACTGAGCTACCTACTGGGCTACCTACTGGGTCGCCTACTGGGTTGCCCACTGGGTTACCCACCTGGTTACCTAGTTGGTTTAAGTTATATTTTGTTGCTTCGATCTTTTACTTTATTTTCYYTTATTYCTTTCCAAACAGGCCGCGAACAACAGAAAGATTTTCTTCTCCGAAAGATCGTTATAGAGATTCCACTGGTAGGAGAACTGTTTATTGAAACACAGATTCTTTTATCTCCCRGTATTTACTTCCATTTCTCACCCCACTCCTCTTCGGCCCTTTAGCAAAATTAGTGTCTAAGGCCTGTGCTTTCTCAATTCAAAGGGGCTGCTATCATTTGAACAGGTGGAGAGTCAGTGTTTGCACCTAATCTGGATGGTGGAGAATCCACTACATTTTAGTCTAGGACTAGTCTCTATAACAAGGCTCAGCAAGTCATCCATCTCCCACTCCCTCAAAAAATGTTGATAAATKTCCTTGCAGTAGTAAGCTATTTTGTATATGGTAGTTTCAATTAATAGTACTTTCTTGTCCTCTAGGTCCAAGTTGGAAGACCAGACAATGTAACTCACCCATTCCACAGGTAGACAAGACACACAACAGCATTACTTAGATTATTGTTACTTAGAAACTAGACTCTGGTTTATATTATCTTAAAAAAGAAAAGACATATGGCTTCAAGGGTATTGACTCCCTTGTTTTACACAAAGTATCTTGATTTTCCCAGACCAGACAAAGTAACTCACCCATTCCACAGGTAGACAAGACACACAACAGCATTACTTAGATTATCGTTACTAAGAAACTAGACTCTGATTTATATTATCTTAAAAAAGACAAGACATATGGCTTCAAGGGTATTGACTCCCTTGTTTTACACAAAGTATCTTGATTTTCCCTTTTTGACAAGCAGACAACACCAAAAAAGTCTTTCGAATCGATTCAACCTCGACAGTCATTGCAGCAAGGAGACAAGCTTAGCGAGGGTAAGTAAATGATGGAATGAGCAACATCAATAAATGAAAGAACAAGAGAACAAAAGAGAGAAGGAACCGGAAAATGAGTGGGCAAATTTTATAAACAGACAAATTTCAATGAGTGTATTAAAAGAAAGACCCTCTTTCAGAAAGTGATGGTTGTAAAATAAAATATTTTTAATAAAAAYATATTGATAACGAACAACTAAATGGCCAACTCACCAACTAAAGAAGGAATACAATATTATGAGAATAACTATAATTTTTTTTATCTTTGCATGTATTTTTTCAGCTCGTTACTTCATCATGAAATGCAACAATCAGCGAAATCTAAGTATTTCGATGACCAAGGTATAATAGTATTATACTCGTAGGTAGTCTTGTACTTCATGACCGTGTCAGTCGACTATCGCCCGCCTGTTGGTCAACAAGTGTCAGGCAAGTGTTGGTCAACAGTCGGGTGACTGTCGACCAACAGTCGGGTGATAGTCGACCGACACATGTCAGCTGGTCATGAAATACACAATTACCATACTCGTATTTCAAACGACTTGTGAAATGAAATAAAATGAATTTTTTCATTTATGAAGGGCCTAGGGTGACCCTAGGGGCACTGTTATCAAGGGGAGCCTTGAGCATGCTCGTTGCCAGCTTAGTAACTTTGTTTTACTTAATGACAGGGAATCTGGGCCACGACGATTGCTAATGAAAAGAAACTGAATCGTGCATTCAAGGTAAGAGAAATATCCAACCAACTCCTTCAGACCTTCAAATTTGGTATCCCAAAAATGAAAAAAATTCCACATGAGACATGAAATGATGTGAAGTGAAACCAAGCCATTCTCGTGTGCTGCATGTATGGTGCTGTGGTAACACAATTGTCTTTTGCTGCCTTAGGGTTTATTTATACTAGGTGCTGATAACAGTGCATAACTGTGCCCAAATGCATCAAAGCAACTAAATTTTACCTTTCCATTTTTCAGGAAAGCAAAATGATAATCCTCTTCTTCTCTGTCCAAGGAAGTGGGCATTTTCAAGGTTAGAAAACACTGAAAAATAAACCTAGACAAACTTTATTAGGCTAAGCATGATTTTACAATAGGAACATTATAACTGTATCATTGCAAAAATGTTTCACTCAATAGATCTTTCCCATTTTTTTCAAGTCCAACCTTGACTTGCAGCCATTGTTTTTTATAGTCACTCAAACAAATAGTTGGATCTTCGTACAATGATGAAATCCATTTGGTTATTTTTTTGAAAATTGCCAATGAGAAATCCATTGGAAAATCCAATAAAGCAAACTGACAAAACCTATCGTTAAAATGGTTGGTACATTAACAACACAATGGAAAATACAATATTCAGGAAAGATCTATTATTGAATAGGTGGATCTTCATACAATGATGAAATCCATTTGGTTTTATATTTAATTGCCAACAAGAAATCCATTGCAAAATCGAATAAAGCAAACTGACGAAACCTATAGTTATATTGGTTTGTACATTTTTCTAATATTTGGAAAAATAGATTCTCTTCCCCTCTGCTCTCTCCCACTCATTCTCTTGTATCTGTACCCCTCAATTTACAAAAACTTTTTTTCTCTCGTTAGGATTTGCACACATGACATCCCCTATTGGTAGAGAGAAGTCCCCAGAGTTTGGTTCCAGTTCTCTAGGAGGAGTATTCAAGGTGGACTGGATCAAAAAGTAAGAAGTCATAAGATGATTTGAAAACCCACTATTGCGCAAGGGTTTCAAGGCTTGTTATTAACTAAAAAATGACTTGAAGCTTATACAACTTGTATCATCCATTTTCAGGGCTAACATTCCTTTCCAAGAGGCACATCATTTAGTTAACCCATGGAATGATAACAAGAAAGTACAAATAAGCCGCGATGGTCAGGTATGTCACCAATGTTGTTACTATGCAAACTGTAAAGAAGGTCCACAAAAAGATCTGGGGTGCTTATAGTTTACCAAGAAAATGGTACGCATCATTCCCATCGGAAAACGACCCAAAAAAACTCATTCTCTTGATTGAGGTAACCCACTTTTCACTATCTTTTTAGTTCTTCCTGTAGACGAGTGTTCCATTTTTCGAAAGTTTCCCACTCTTTTCTTACAATAGCCAATGAATTTCCAACCCAGTGGATTGATTTAAATGGTGAGCAACCCTGAACTATCTGATTTTTTTTCTTAGGAGTTGGAACCATCAGTGGGAAGAGAACTGTGTAAGTTATGGGACAAAGACCCAAATGGTAGCAACTCTCGCTACTCAAAGCYGTCCATGAGTGGAAACAGRAGAGGACGACAGCAAGGACCACTACCAACAGAGCCTCCACCAAACCACTGGAATCAACCACTACCACAATCAAGCTATCAACAGCTATCAAACAATCAACAGATCCTAACTCCACATGCTGCGTCAATGCCAATACCAGTTCCTCTACCATCACAGCAYTCCCACAACCCACTCATGCCAGGGGGYTACCCACATCAGCCTAGGCCCATGGTAGGTCAGGCTGCTATTGGGTATCCCAATCACGCTGTGGGGATGCATCCTGGTGTGGCTCCRGTTAGATACCCTCATAATTCTTCAGTTGTTACAGGATTACAGTTTCAACAACAAGGACCTGCAGGATCTGGAATATTAAGACCAAATACCTTTCCTTCTTAGAGACAGGCTCGTCACCAGAACAGAAAAAAGGGGGTTCATATTTGCAAAAGGGAGAGGGGGGTTCATTCTCACACCTTGGATCCATCCCTAGCATTGAACCTATACAGAATATCATTATACAAAGGGATATACATAATTAATCTTTTCATTGGAAATAAGATATAGCCAGCTTTCAAATCCATAATTGCTATTAAAAAATATCGATATATCCAACATTCTGAGGGTCATCACATCATAGCTCAAGGTTTCTCTCACCATGAATTCTGCTTAAAGGGAGAGAAACATTGCACGACACCCTAAGAATGTCTGCATAAAAAGCTACTGCCCCCTCCCCTCCCCCCACAAGCCAATTCTAATTACTTAATTCTAGTTAAAATTCTGTAAAGAGGAATTCTTTGTTATCGTCAACCAACATGGTGGCTACCGAAAAATCYTTTGAGATATTATAAATAACAATGAAACAGCYGCCATCTTGGTTGACCTAACAAGAGAAGTGTAATGAGGAATGCTTTGTTATCGTCAACCAAGATGGCGGCTATGACTTAATGTGCACCTGCTCTATATGAATTGAGTACAATTTTTTAATACTTTTTCATGAATCCCCACATACAAATCACTTGCAAATAGACCTACGTATAATTTATTTCCATGATATATGTTATAAAATCTCTTGGGAAGTTATTAAATTGTATCTATACTATGGTCACAGTCA